GACCATAATCTGTTGGTCAAAGAAGACACAAGGCTAGGCCACATTCAAATCATAGGGAAGCAGAACTTCAGTTATGGTTTGGAAGAAATAAAGTAATTTGTGGTCGTATTTAATCTATCACAATGTTGTGAACATAATACATATTTGTTATGGAAATTTCTATTCATTTTTGGGAACTTCTATAATATTAGAATTTATTACCTTAGATACTTGCAGAGAAAGATCTTTGGAGAAATGAAACCAGATTCTCTGCTTGAAAGATGACATTTTCATATGTATGACCATAGTCAAACTTGCATGCCTATAAAGCCACAAATGTAATAAACTTTACTGAAATGGATCATGTTGGAATTGAAGTTATTTGGAATATATATGTTCTGTCTAAGGATATTAGCAACAGATGCTTCCCATGTGGCAATATGAGCCCTTTGATGGCTGAACTACTGATATTTTAAGATAAAGATAAAATACCAGCAAGTTATTTTGTCTATCTTAATAAACTGATCCTAAAGTTTATATGGAAAGATGAGATAATCAAAATAGTGGAAACACAGAAGAATAAAGTCAGAGGCTTCACAGTGCCTGATGTCAAGTCACATTGCAAAGCTACAATAGTCAAGATGATATTTGCAGAATAATAGGGCGCTAGATCAATGGAACAAAGTAGTGTTCCCCAAAAATGACCCAAAGAGAGTCAACTGGCCTTTGACAAAGGAGCAAAACCAAGTTAGTGGAGAAAGGATTATTTTTAGTGATGCAAGATTTGACATGTACATGCAAACAAAGAATCTATATACAGACATTACAACTTCCACAAAAAATTAACTCAAAATTAAATGTAGAACACAAGGCTGTGAAAACTTCTAGAGGATAACACAGGAGAACATCTAGCTGATCCTGGGTGGACAATGAATTTTAGGCATAAAACCTATGTTATAATCCATGAAAGGAAAAAAATGATAAATAGGACTTTGTAAAAGTCAGATAAATTTCTGCTCTATAGAAGATAATATTAAAAAGATGAAAATGCTTACCACAGACTGAAAAAATTTTTCAGAACACACATCTGATAAAGAACTTGTATCTAAAATACACAAAAAAGATTTGAAACTCAACAGGAAAACCAACAAAGTAAATGATAGGAACAAGATCTGAATCAGACATCTCACCAAAGACAATATACATATATACAGAAGATATGCTGAATCTAAGTATATAAAATATGGTCAACAACATTTGTCATTGGGGAATTGCAGGTTACAACAATTACAATATACCACTGCACCAAATGCTAAGTGGTTAAGGAACATTAGCAACTCCCATTCATTGCTGATGGGAATGCAAAATTGTGGAGAGCCACTTTGGAAGACAGTTTGGGAGTTTCTTAGAAAGATAAATGTGATTTACCATACAATCTAGCAGAGGTGATCCAAGGTGAAATATTTTGTTCAGATAAAAATATGCACATGTACATTGATAAAAGCATTGTGCATAATTACCCAACACTGAAAGCAACTATCCTTCAATGAGTTAATGGAGTAACAAACTACTGTATATTTGTATAATGTAACAATACCCAATAATAAAAATGAATGAGCTATCAGACCACACACAAAAATGTCGAAGAATCCTAAATGCTTATTGCTAAGGTAAACAACATAAAATGTCTATACAATAATTCCAACTTTATGATATCCTGAAAAAGATACAACTATAGAAATAGTACAAAGACCAGTGATTACCTGGGTTTTGAGTTGGGGGCAGGGTATGAATAGGTGAAGCTCAAGGAAATTTACAGTAATGAAACTATTCTATATGATATGTAATCTTGGATATATGACATGCATTTATGGAAATCCATAGAACTGCATACAAAGAAGAGTGAACCTTAATGTACACTACATACTTTAATTAATGTTAATATCACCATTAATTTTAACAAATATACCAACATTAATGTAATGTGTTAAAAGAAGAAACAATGTCAGAGGATGGGGAAGTCCTATATGTGGACTCAATGCTATTTGCTCATTTTTTAAGAATTTAAAATATCATTTTGTGATGTATAATTTTGTTTGCTGATGAAGAATATATAGTAGTTAAAGTGTTGGCTTGTCCCAGGATAAAAAAGTAGTATATACATAGGTCTCAGGAAAATTTTCTTTTTGCTATAACATCAAATTAAGTAGATTTTACTTGGTGTTTTCTATAACTTGTATTATAGCATAGTATAGACACTGTATATAGCAGAAATATTTCTGCTGAGGAACAGGTGGTGAAATTAAAGCATTCATATGGCCAGACCTCCATTACAAAGACATCTATTTATAAATGCTCATTTTAGGACACACTGTCCATTTCAGGAAATTTATTTTTAAGCAATATTATCCTTTAAACCATTTTCATTTTATTTGCAAAGTCATTTTCAAGAAGGAAATTGAAACATACCACCAATAATTTTTAAACATTTGAGACATTTTTCTGCAATATTGGTTTAATAAGGATTAACACATTTTGCAAATGCATTCAATATTTTCATTGTGAAGAATATTTATTTTTGTTGCTGTAACCAGAAACAGATGTGAGAAGACTGAGAAAGTGTGAATCTATCTTTTTGCACACAAAGAGTACTTTAAATGACAGTTAGCTCTCTCAGCCATTAATTGGGGATTTCATATTCTTTTATTGACCAGTGAGCCACCCGTGCAGAGCTGGGTCAGGCCCAGGTAGACAGGCTGCAATATTAACATGGGTAGCCCTCTACTCTACATGACTTCCTCTCTCAGCATCTGTTGCCCATGTGATGACCTCAGTGGATGCAATCTGGCTTGTCAATTCTCTATCTGTCCTATCCTGATTTTAAGATTTCATTGCCCCATTTGCTCTGGGATTTTGTCTTATGTTTGCAAATTGACAGCTTACATGTTAATTCCACTTAATGCATTCAATTGCATGACAGAAATTTAGTCAGCAGTTCAGATCAGAGCATATTATCCTGACTGGGAAGATTTCCTCCAAGCCCACCTAATGCTAAGATAGTTGCTGATGTATCCCCTACATTAAAAGGTAGAAGGAAATATGTTAAAGAACTTTTTTTCTGACAATGTCAAGTGCTATACTAGGGTTTTGTGACTATTTTGCATATTCCAAATGAGTTCTTGTTTGAATGGAATGAGTTAAGTTGAAAAGGAACTGACTGCTTCAGTTATCTGCTAGCAAAAGTGGATAATGCTATATACACAGAACTAGAAAACACGCTGGATGAAATAGGAGGATGTAGAAGCTCCTTATCTTAGTTACAGCTCTAGGAACAATTTTATCCATTGGGATATTGTTAAAAATTGAAACTACACAGAAGACTTGGAAACATCCAGACTTAGTGGAAGGGCAGGATGACCACAGAGCAGGATATCTATGATACCAGCAGACCGGGTAAAGGAGAATCATGGAGCCTTCAGTGGCTTTCTTAGGCTTTTATTGAGCTTTACATGCATCACAGCAACCAGGTACCCAGCAGACAGGAGTACCAGGGGGCCAGGAGGCCGGCGGGCCTCCAAGCTCCCAGCAAGTCTTCACTCTGGGCTTCTCTGGCTTCTTTCTTCTCTTCTCTCTCCTGCCTCTCTCCTGCTTTTGCTTCTCTCTGTGACTATCTCAATATTCCTCCCATGGCCCACAGAAGTAAACAAGATACCTTGCAATAAGGTAATAACTACAGGTGCCCCATCAGGCAGGACAATCCTAATGGTGGGAGGGCAGAAAAACCTGAAAACCATTTACCCTACACTTAGCATTACAAAAACAAATGTTAGTGTAATTTCCTTTGTGAAGACAGCAGATATGTTCTCAGCAGCCGTATATTGCATTCCTTAGTACACGTATGTTATTCAACACAATTCAAACATGTTTATCTTAATTACCTACCTACAGAAGCAATAAGTAAAGCAGTTTAAATGCAAGCTATTTAAGTAGAAAAGATGGCAAGCAAACTGGTAACATCCAGAAACATTGCAGTTTTTCCCTCTGTCATCTACAAATAGAATATTCCTATGAAACCTTTCATCAATCAAAACGGCATAGCAAAGAGGTGACTCACCATTAACTTATATGGAAAAATTGTTTTAGCATTTTCAGATCCACAATTTGCCAAATAAAACCCTCAAAGCTAACATAACACAAATACACAGCCTGGATAAAGCGATCCCGGGATGGCAGGTGGTGCCATTCCTGCTGCTCAGTATGCACTGCCTCCGAAAAGGCAGCTGCAAAACAAATGCCGAACTCTGTGATCACTTTTCATTTTATGTCCTAAAAGTGACAGTCCTCTTCTAATCTCTTTTGGTTGGTGAAAACAGGTCCTAAGGTAGGTCTTTTGTAAAAGCAAAGTAGCTGAATGCAAAGTTTTGAAAGCAGAACATTTTCCCTGTAATGCCTTTTTTTTTTTTTTTTTTTTTTTGCAAATAACAAGTGAGCAAGACCTGTAGCTCATGTAAGACTTGTAGCCTCCAGCGTTGCCCTTTGCCTTACACTGTGATGTCATCAATAGTCAAGAATGTTCTTCAGGAGTTTAGAAAACCTAAATAAGGGACCAGGAAAAAGAATAACTATAATGAAGAAAAAATCAAAATCAACAAGCAATTATAAACCAGAGACACATTATGGGGTTAGGGGGAGTTAGGGATTAGAGGAGGGATTGGGGTCAAAATAAGGGGGGTGCAATTGTATGGGGAATATAACCAAGATGAAAATGCATACATTGTGCAAAAATGAAAAATGATGTAAGAAATATATACAAAAAAAAGAAAAAAGAATGTTCTTATAATACTAGAAACTGGGGATGGAAAAACTTTTAGGTATTATGTTTTTATTTATGTATTTTATTAGCATATTTTTTATTTTTCCCTCTTTCCTCTCGATCACAGCAAAGAAAATTGTTCAAGCTATATCATTTATCTTTGTAATGTTTTTCATAAAAGGTATGATCCTATATTTTCTTTTCACAGATCCAGGACTACATAGGCAGCTATATTTTCTGCAAAGACCGTCTAATGTCATAGCCATTGAAGGAAAAGATGCAGTGCTGGAGTGTTGTGTTTCTGGCTATCCTCCTCCGAGTTTTACCTGGTTACGAGGAGAGGAAGCCATCCAACTCAGGTATTACTAATTTTCCATTTTTTTCTGAGCTATGCGCTGCATTTATTTTCTCACTTGATGTAAGTGCCTAAAAATACTAGGAGTTTTAATTATAATTTAATATTTCCCTGAATTTTTGGCATTGTATAAAATATGAAAGATTTTACTCACTGAGATAAAAAGGTGGGGAACAGAGTCAAAATTCATTAAATTAGTTCTCAAAGGAAGCTTAGAAAACCAAACCAAAGTCACCTCTCAGATGGTTCTGCCCAAAGAGTGTTGAGCAAAAATACTTCGGAGGATCTCATTCTATGGAAGTACTAGCATGGAATATTAAAAAAAAAAAAAAATTTGAATTCCCAATGTCATTATAGGGTCTGTGCAATTTTTAAAACTCTCAATGTATCCCACACCATTGCTACTCTAACATATATTTAAATAACTAAATGAGGAGAGCTTGGCTGGCTTTGAATTACAGGACATTAATAATAGGACAAAGTTAAGAAGTAAACACTTAATATAATGGAACACTTAGTCTGAAACATTTGATTAAATGGATCTCACTTAAGAAATTAATTTCATTGATTTTGAGGGCCAGTATGCTTAGTTTTTTTAACACATTTATGTACTGTGGTGAGATACTTTCATGGAGAATAAGTTTATCTTTAAATTTCATCTACCATAAGTATGTATTTAACAATACATAATACAGTATCATAATATTTCTGAGAATATTAAAGCATATAAAAAATCTGGTTGCAACTTCAGCATGTTATTTTCTCTGGATGTAATAGACATTCTCGGTGCAGTGAGAGATGTGACTTTGCACAAAGATCACTAAATCTGATGTTAAGACACAGGACATTGACTTCCACCATAGGGAATCATTTTTCTGGAGCTTGTTGACTTCAAATCTACATTGAAAGAATTGCGCCAGATTCTAAGTTTCTTTTTATCTCTAGCTTTCTGAGTTTAATCTACTTTATTTAATTACTACCTATTGTCTTCCAGTGGTGGTAATCAATACATACCACATTATTAAACCCCCATAATACAGATACAGACTCTTTCCAAGTTTTGTAATTTGATCCTTTGTGAATTTCATTTAAACTTCTGAATAATTTGTCTGATTTGTTGTGATTATGGTATATGATGGGACAATGAAAATAAATGCCTGATAATATTTATGTCATTCTACTCTCTAATTCCATATGCCTATGCCTTACAGGTCCAAAAAGTATTCTTTGTTGGGTGGAAGCAACTTGCTTATCTCCAATGTGACAGATGATGACAGTGGAACTTACACCTGTGTTGTCACATATAAAAATGAGAATATTAGTGCCTCTGCAGAGCTCACCGTCTTGGGTAAGTTAATGGCTCGAGATGAGTTTACATTGTTCCCTTCAAAATATATTACTGTGACACTTTAAATGCTTATCACTGAAGTGCTTCCAATGTTTATTAGTGTGAAATTGCAGAGTTCCAGTGCTTGATAAATATCCTGGCTCTACTTTAATTAATTGCATAGGGGTTAAATGCAGTGTTTGAATTCTTGCTCATTAATTAAAATCCAGGTACATCACTCTAGTCTAGTTATTCCAGTGATACATCGGAAACTATCACAAATTATTATTTAACAATTGTGTTAAGTAAAAAGTGAGAGTTTCCAAAATGAATGAGGAAATTGTATGAAAGATTTGCACTCAGGTAGAAAACTCAGAAGTTATTTGAGAGGACAGGGTACCTGGCATTAAATTCAGATGTGCTGGTAAGGTTGTTTGGTTAATATGAAAAAACTGAAGATATTTGGTTGAAAGTGAACTATTAAAGTCAAATACATCCACGGAAAACTTTCATAGCAAGAATCTAATTTAAAGAAATTTAAGGGACATGGATGGGTTCATTTTATTCAGAAAGGCAAGGTCACTGCATCATTACAAATTAATGATTCTTATTTGTAGTAGGTACTCAAGCAGACACATATCTTACCATCTGCTCCCGATTTCTTTTACCAGTTTCATTTGAATTATACAGTTTGGAGAAAGTGGCTTAACATTTGAATTTCAATTGTTTTTCCCTGTAACAACAACAAAAATATTGCTTACCAGACTTTGGGTTTTTTCCTCTGGAATAAATCTTTTCCCTTTTAAAGAGTTCAGGAAAAATCACAGGCTCTTAAAACGTATTCAGTAGAAAAGAAAAGGTATGGTACACTGATTATATCTGCTAACATACCTCATAATATATCATGCCATCCATTTTGCTTTTTTGTCTTTAAAGTTTATTCAGAAAATGCTTTCATCTGTGAGTGGAGTAATAACTTCTGTGATGGGTTAGGCAATGGACTTGTTTGTTCTTTGATCCATAAATATTAAACTAAGAATAGCCAAAGAACCTTAATTCTTTGGTTTTAGAGGTGGCAGTTATTCTCACTAAAATATCAGCTGTCTTTAAAATGGCAACAATTTAATTTGCACGTATTTTATGTGGACATTTCTTGGTGAAACAAAGAAACAAAGAAAACTTTCACATTTATAACATCAAAATAGAGTAACACCAAATGGCAACCATAGGAATTCTCTTGAAATGTAAACATCACTGATTATAAAGCGAATGTAGATGTGAAATGAGCTGGAGTTTTTACTGATCATATGTAAACTTCTAATTGAAAATACTTGAGGTTAAATTTTATATCAAATTAATATACAATATTTTCACTTATAATGCTTTGTTGATATCTAAACCAATTGTGCATAAATTCTAATTTTGAGGATAAGTTAAATTAGCTTATATATATACATATATATTCTTATATGCCTATCCTTATTTGCATATATATCCATATATGTTCTCATATTCTTTTCTTTATGAAATGAATAAATTACTAGGAAATAATTATGTGCTATTTGACATATATAAATTCTATTCAGATATGAATGAGTAAAGAAAACACTGATGGTTTCCCCTACTGCAGGCTTCTTTTCTACACCCTAAGATAAATAATTTTGATAGTGGCATGCTTTAGTCCATAAATTACTCATGTTTCATTGAAGCATATATGCACACATGAAGTTTTATAGTTATAGGACATTAGAAGACTGATTTTCTTCTTATGACAGGTAATGTCTCTCTTATATCATTGCTAGTGAATCTTGACCAGTTTAAAAATAATATATTACATAAGCAGCATTTTCAATAATACATATGCATATGTAGATACATACATATCTATGATATACACACATTTTTTTAAGACTGTGTTTACTGAATGCTACAATGTGCACTATTTATTCTTCATGATATCCTCTGGGAAGTGTGTAGGCAGGACCCATTATATAACAGTGCTCTTGCATGCTCTAATTCTGTACCATCTGGAAAGAAACTGTAAAGCATAGGGTGACTCCAGTATCCCCTTTACTAAAAGTAAAGTTTAGTACGGGGTTTGTATATGCCTGAGGGACACACACCCAGCTGGCCCCTGGTATCTTGAACCAGGGCAGGCTACCACTTATCATAGACTTTCCCACTCCCTGGTGGTGATGGTAATCTAGAGTATTTGCTCTTTTAAGTCAGTTGTGATCCTGGGAGAAAAAGATAGGAGAAAGGGGTTCCTCTATACTTCCAAGCTTTTTAAATCATTTGTGTTATTTATTCAAGTTCTTATTCCCACCAAGAAATGGTGGATATTGAGAATGGGGGTAATGGTGATGACTTCAGGGGTCTTAGATGGGAGGACCCCACTCCACAATCCCCCAGGAGGAAAAGTCTGTTCTGAGGAAGAAGCAGTCACCATTCCCAGCCCCAACACTAGTTGTTACCACAATCCCATTTTACTTATGAGAACATCTAGGCACAGAATAAGTCACTGCCCCTAGATCTTGCAGTTCATGCAGAGGAGATCTAGGCCTCCAAGGCAGGAGTTCTGATTCAGGAATCCCAGACCTGATTGCAACAGTGTTGATCGTCTACTTTTTCTGAAGCTGACTTAGACTACATAAAGCAGGTTTGTGTGATACAATTGAGATGATTCTGAAATTTCAGTTTAGTTAATAATTGGCTATTCCTATAGTCACATCAAATAAGAAATGTGGAAACTACTATGATAATCTCAAGGTAGCAGAGAGAAAAGTTGGTAAAAGAGCAGGAACAAAGGGATAAAACTACTCTATGAGAATAAGTTCCAACAACCATAAAACATATAATAAATGTTCCTTTCAAATTAGTATTTTTGAATTTTTTGGTGATGCCGAGGAGTGGAATTACTCAGTTGTATCCATTTTCAATCTTCTGAGAAACATCCACGCTGCTTTCTGCAGTAGCTGGACCATTCTACTTTCTCACCAACAGTGTAGGAGGAAAATAATTTTTAAAATACTCAGCTGTATGTTGTGGATTTCAGGAACTCTACATAGGAAGAATAGCAATGAGGCTAACATGATGTGTGTGTGTGTGGATGTGTGTTTGTATATGTATTATGTATTACACATTGTTTATGGTACCAACTTCTTTTTCTCTGTGACTTCTGATTTTGTTGCCATTAGACCTACATTTTTTATTCTAAATGTACCATCCTACTTCCAAATCTAGTTAGAGGTTACAAATTAAATGTGTAAATTAGAAGAAATGTTAATTTTTTTTAAAAATGATAAAACTGCATTTATATCTTGGTTCATTTTATCCCTAAAGGAATCTTCTTGATAACTGGGTATACATTTTAAAGATTTCCCACAGATCTGATATGATTTAATTCAGGAGGTAGTTATAACACTGTTTTAATTATTCTACCCAGGCTTCAAAATGAATGTCAATAGAATAAAAATCTTTGATGTAGTTTTTGACTCTTCTGCTATAAAGTTAAGCACATCCTGAAGGACTTAGTTTATGTTGAAAATAGAATTTATTCCCTTTTTATTTAAAGTGAAAGATTAGGAGAAAAGAATATTATCAGTGTTATTCAAAGTTAGTTTTCATCATTTTTAGAATTTAAGCATAATTTAAATGCTTCATGAGATAAAATCCCACAAGAAACCCAAACTTGCACTTACAAGCTTTAATCATCCATTTAATCAGACTCTTATTTTGCCTTTCAACTCATGATCCTTTTCTTGCACGTAGACCATCTTTGAATGTGAGCTTGCATGAACAAACTGACTTTTCTACCAGGGGATAATTTCATATACAATAAAGTCAAAGAAATGTTGCTGTCGTCCTCAAAATTTTCAATATGCTTAAATGTAATTGAAAGCATTTATATTATAAAATGAAAATTGAAAATTCAATAATTAAATTTCTTAGAGAAATCTACACTAGATAAGATTAAGACAGCCTTTTCTAAAATAAAATGTAAACAAATGTGTGGATGTAGTCTTAATAATAACTCTTCCCAACCTATGAAAATAACCATCAATATAGTATCAGTGGGGCTATTTTGAGTGCATCCAATGCACTATGTTGTGGAAGGCTACACAACGTAACAAGGTTTGAATTCTGATTTTAATGGACTTGAAGTACAATTTCAAATCCATACTATCCTAATGGCTTCTGCATAAGATTTTTACCATATTGCCTGCTAACTTGGAAACTCTGAAGACATGAAGAGTTGATAATCTCCCCTCTCTCTTATAGGACAGGGCGGCATGAGGCATTGGTGGCTGGGCAGGTTCTGAAAAGAATCAGGCAAAGGAAATTTCTTGGAATACTGTTACCAGCTTAAATATGTTTTTATCAAAAATATGTTTAAATCACAGTACAGCGATTATTTTAGCACAAGACTAAGATACAGTATTATTTTCATTCTTATTTTTCAATTGCACAGCATTCTGGCTCAAGAATTATAGGCACTTTTTTGAACACACCCAACCTTTCCTCCATTGACCTATCCCCAGCTTCACGCACACCTCCATACATACAATCCTGACTATAGATTCAGGCAATTTGGCTCAGCTCAGTGTCTAATCTATGCAAAAATGCACACTTAAGAATGGAATTTGATCTTTAGCCAGTAAAGTACCCAACCTTGTATGAACACTGTACACTCTCCATATGCAACCAGAAGGAAATGAGTAGAAAGTTCACTCTTCAGTAGAAATCATTATGTCTAACTGTTGGTGAGAAAACAAAAATATTTTTGAACTTTGCAGAAAGCATTCTGGGATCCCTTTTAAAACAGTCTGTAGCAATATAAACAATATACTGTTAACATTTATTTTTGTGTGTAGCTTTTCTCAGCTGTTTGCCTCATTATCTTGCTAGAGAAATGTTGGCTAGAATTGACACAGACTGGCTTTGTAGGACAAAAGTAAGTCTACTATGTCAGCCCTTTGCACAAAATTGAACACTTGAAGCCAAATCTGAGTTCTCTGTCT